AGAGAAGAGAGGGAAGGTGGAGTGGAGGTTGAGAGAGGAGGAAAAAACAGGAACGATTCTACGGATCGTTTATAATTTTGTTGTGCTGTAAGGAAATAAACTAACTTTCCTCGCCTTGCATCAGGAAACGGTGATGTGGTGTATGTATGTATGTGTGTATGTATGTATGTGTGTGTGTGTGTGTATGTGTGTGTCAGCTGTGTGTTGATGTGCATGTGATTATAATAAGCTTTCGTATTGGTTGAACTGAACTTCCTTCTTTCTATATTCATTTTGGCTGTTGTAATATATGTATGTATGTGTGTGTATGTATGTATGTGTATGTGTATGTGTATGTATGTATGTGTATGTATATGTATGTATGTGTATGTGTATGTATATGTATGTATTTTCGTATGTATATAGGTGTTGATCAGTTGGAATGATCAGTTGTATATGTGGGATAAATGATAGTATCAGTAAATTTGGTTTGACAAGTGAACAAAAACATAAATATGGTTATTATCATTATCATTATCATATAGCATTAGCTACGATTGATAATTTTTGCTTGTGCTACGAGTAAAGAAAATTTCAAATATTTAGTAAAAATTTTGAGTAAAAATTTCAAATATCTTAGCTAAAAACAATTTCAAACAAAATAATATAAAAATGAAAGGAAATGATAACAAAAGAGGAGAAAAAAAAAAAGAAGAATGAAGAATGAAGAAGTGGAAAAAGAAAGCAGAGGAAAAGAGGAAAAATGATAAGGATGAAAATTGTTAAGGATAAAGATAAAAGATAAGAGAAGAATGATGATGAGGAAGACTACAACAACTGTAAAATAACAGAAGGCGCACATTAAAAGCAAAACTTAACTATCCCAAGAGGATTGTGTATGTTGTGCATTTGAACTAAACATAATTCGAAATGGCTTCGTTCAGTTTGGTAGTTTTAGTTTAGTTTAGTGAATTTGAAAGATATTATTGAATGAAGAAAGGATGACATATATATATATATTCTTTCTTCATCATTTCACTCTTTTTGAATCTTTGCTAATTGATTATATTTGATCAATTTATTCCATTTCATTCCATTCTTAATTTAATGATTAGCTGTTAAAAAAAAAAAAATTTTTTTTTTTTTAATCTGTAGAATTATGTGAAATGATTTTATAAAACAATATTTTTCATTTTCATTTATATCTTTTCTTCCTTCAAATTTCTTATCTCCCTTGAAAGCTAAGAGGAAGAATGAGAGAAAGATATTTGATAGTAGCAGCAGAAGAGGAAGAAGAAGGGCAAAGGGGAAAGCTTTTCACTTGCCTGTAGACAGAAGGATGATGATAATTGAGTGAACAGAAGGATCGGAACGAAATTTTGATGATTGTCTACTGCTGACGACGGTAAGTAGTGATCCTCTACTTCTCCAATATATTTGAGATGATAGCATCCAACTAATAATATCTACAGTCTGTCATCATCACCATCATCATCATCATCCCATCATCATTATCATCATCATTATCATCATCATCATCATCATCTATCATTCATCATCTGTCATCACCATTATTATTATTATTATTTTGTATTATTTATATTATTGTAATAATAATTTAAAAAGTAATTATAATTACTGTTATTACTATTAATTAATAGTAATTATTGTTATGGTAAATGATGAATCAGTAAATAATAAATAATAATAATAATAATAGCATAACAGTGACAATAATTATGATCACAATTTGATCTTTTAGTCTTTTACTATATACTGGAGTAAGTGCTTTTTCGATTTTCAATAATATTACTTGAAAATATTGCAAATAATTTCTAGCTGAAAAACTATTTGAAATTTCATGAAAGATTGTTCTTTTTTCCGTTAATTAAATGGACGTATCAATTAATTAATTAATTAATAAGTGAACTGAATGACGTAAAAAAAAGAAAATAGTGAGCACTGATAAAAAAATAAATTTTGTTAAATGGTCGCATTTCATACAATACATTTTTCCTGATAAATCAGGATAAATTAGCCTGTTATCCTGGCGAACATAATGATTTGTCATACGGAATTCAAATTATACTGATAATTATATCATTTTTTATAATTTATCCGTGAATCAGACCATTATTTATCTTTTGCGTCACCGGAAGTAACACTTACGTATATGCTTTTTACGTCTGCAAACCTTTTACTTTCATATATAATGCATTATTAACTTTTGTAACTTATTTTCACTTCATAAACAATTCTGGAACTGTATAGAAATTCTAAAGAAATCGAAAACTTCAAATGTAATTTATTAAATCAAATCGAAATTTTTAAAAAAAAAAATACAATTAACTTTTCCAATAATTGCTATTAACACTAAAAAAATTTGAATAATATGTTAATAAGTAGTTTTATAATATATTATATATATAAATATACATAAATGTTATTGGCAAATTTTTTGGTTTAAAATTACCATCAATTTGTTCACCTTTTTTTTTATATATATAAGTATGGAAAAGTATTATTAGGCTTAATCTTACTTAAATATAATGGATGTTTATGCCTGTCAGTTTTTGTGAACTTTTATGTACACATACATAACTTGTAGGTTTAGTCCTTTTAAAATGAGCCAAGCTAATCGAGCAAACATGAATGTTGATTTTGCAAATGTTAGAAATGACGATGACTTCCGATTTCCTTCTTCTTTTCACATCATACCCATTAAAGCCTTCTTGTCATACCCATCCAGAAAATGGGTGGGTAAAAATGTATCTGAAGAAGAAGCAGATGCTGCCCGCCGGTATTGTATTGATTCTTGCAAATAGCATTCATTGCTGCTAGGATAGCTTCGATATACAAGCAACAAAGTTATAGGAGGTGGATTTAATTTTTGCAAAATCAGTGTAGTAATTTCATGGAATAAATAGTATGTTATGAAGAGTAGAAGGAGAAGGAGAAGGAGAAGGAGAAAGAGAAAGAAGAGGAGGAAGAGGAAGAGAAAGGAAAGAAAGAAATCATGCGTAAAGTATGCAATAGTAGTAAGTAGTAAGTAGTAAATAGTAGTAAGTAGTAAGTAGAACAAAGATAGTAAGATACTTCTAGCTGAAAGCATTTATAATCATTGAACTTTTGCTTAGTTAAATGTAATAGAAGCAAAATAGCACACAACAATTTAGTAAAAGACAAGTAAATACATAAACAGATGATATGATATGATATGATATGATAAGATCATAAAAGATTACTACTGATAATAAGGATTGTAGAGAAATCATGCAAAAATACTATCCTAAGCATTTAAATTTACATTGATAAGTGATTATTGTTGTTGTTATTGATCTTATTGTTAGTGCTATTTGAGTGTTAAAGATGAGATTTGAAAAAAAAAAATAAAATGAAATTAGGAAGGAAAGGAAGAAAATCACAGGAATTACATTTTCAACTATTATTTTTGTGTACATGCATGTGTGTGTGTGTGTGTGTGTCTGTCTGTGTATGTGATGTATGTGCACCCATCTGTCTGTATAAATATGCTTCATCTGGCCATGCCTTTCCCGTTGAACCTAACAACAAACTATTCGTTGCCCACCCCTTCAACATATAACCAACCATACATATTGTTGTGCCTACAATTCACACAGACACACACATGGGGCGCGCAATTACCCTAGGCCTCACAATGCTTTTCACAAGTATGCATTGCCAGTTAGGCCTGGTGAGACCATAAGCAACACCATAGCTTAGGCATCCTCTTCTATATTTATTGATCCTCTCTCTTATTTCGCTTCTTCCTTCTTTTAGCTTACTTTACGATTTTTAAGGCCTGTACAGTATATCAAAAAAAAATACAATTTATACCATCAATATTCTAAGCCAAGCCAAGTGTGAATTACAACGATTGGCTAAAAAAAAAAAGAAGAAAAAGGTTGTAAGTGTTTAATGATTAATAAACTGAAAATTTTTGGTATTTAGTTTTTATTTTTTTTTGATCTGACATGTGGTTATTCTACAGATTAACAGATGATTATACTGCAACGGAATGTTTCGACGATTTCTTCTGTTATATCTATTTAGTCCTTCTTTTTTTTTAAACAAATAATCTATTCTCGACTAAATAAATAAATGGTCATTGTCAAATTGTAGTTGACAATATCGATATCCTAACCATTTGTTGGATTAGAATGGATTGTTATCTGGAGAAATTCCAATAAGGTGGGTATCTGGCGTTTATGGCACTGGTATCTGGCGTGTGTATATTTCATTTTATCGTTGTGTTATTCAGGATAATTCCGAATAGTTCTAATAAGTAATAAATGATAATTTACAAAAAAGAAAAAAAGAATTTAAAAAAAAAAACAAACACTAAGTTTAATTACGAGATTTTCAAAAAAAAAAAAAAAAAAAGAATTCAGATTAAATTTTCTTGATGAATATTTGCAAATGTTAATAATATTGGTAATCTTTGTCCGAGATTTTTGAACTTCCTGCTATCATTAGCATTAAAAAAAATTGAAAAAAAAAAGGGTAATTCAAGAGATCACTAAGGAAGCATTTTAAATTTCCTGCCCTTTCAAATCAAAGATGATGAAAAAAGCATGAAATATTTCTATTTGTTTAAAAAAATTTTATGTATATCTTTGTTAAAAAATTATGCTATCCTTTTATAAATTTGAGATAACCTTAATAAAAACTTTTGTAGCACTTTAATATTCTGTGACATGCATGAATATGTGCTATTTTTAAAATCATAAGCACTCTATCATATTTGTTTTTATAATAATAATAATAATAACAATAATTATTATTATATTATTATCGTTACTATTACCATTATTATTATTATTAACATTTTTTACTTTTTTCATTACTAGTATTATTATTCTGTTATATTCACTCGAATTTCTCAAATATTTCAGAGTACAACTGGACTATAGAAAGTTTGTACATTTTGCTTAGGATTTACTTTGGCCAGTTATTTTTAAGATAAAACGTGAAGATTAAAAGTGGCAGGTAAATTGGTAATGAAGATGGATGATGTTAATGATGATGATGGTGATGACGATGATGATGAGGATAGTGATGATGACGTGATGGTGATGACGATGATGATGATGATGATGATGATGATGGGTGATGACGGTGATGATGATGAGTGATGACGATGGTGATGAAAAGTGATGACAGTGATGATGATAATAATGGTGATGGTGAAGAGAGTGATGGTGATGAGGATAATGATGACGATGATGATGATGACGATAATGATGTTGGGGATAGTTATGGCGACGATGATAATGGTAGTAGTAGTGATGGTTCAACTCAGTATATTATAGCTGTTGTAAGGCTGTATGGTAGTAGCAATAGCAACGGCTGGATTAGTCAGTTTTGGTCTCGATGATTGTCGTCTTTTCTCGAAGTCCAATCAAATTTTGTGTTGTGAGTCGCTTGCTCCTTGTCCCTTTCCTCTTTTCTCCCACCCCTCCTCACCTTTTCCTTTTCTTGTGTCCTGTGATTCACTACGTTTCCATGATGTTTTAGAGACCCTGTGGTTGACAGGCAAGAGGTACCACAAGCCTTGAGTGCCTGTATCGATCTTTGGTACAAATATATTTATACCCTATGGCTAAGCTTGTCCCATTTCCTCATCTGTCCTGTTCTCTTCCATTCTTCTGTCGCTTATCTGTTTGTCCCTATTTGGCTAGCTGGCAGACTAACTTAAACCAAATGACTATAAAGCTTTTCATATTCACCAGACATTTTGTTCCTCGACAACAAAGGCAGCTAGTAATCGGTGGTGTAGCTCAAATACATTGCTGATAACTCCAAAATGCTTCTTACTTATTCCACCTTCATTTCAACTTATCAACTTTCAACTATACTACTACATACTTTTCATAAAAATCTCGTTGTTATGTTTTTTTAAGCTATCGCAAATGTTTACTATTCAAAAAAGATAGCATAAACAGTACTAATAGTAATATTAATTTCAGTAGTGGTAATATTACTCATATTAATAACTCTCATTAATAATGTTATTTTAGTGTTAGAAATTTCAATTTTTGTTGTCGTTGCTGTTGTTGCTTTGTCATGTTGGTGTTGTTCTTATTGTCGCTGCAGTTGTTGTTGTTGTTGTTGTTGTTGTCACTGTGTTGTTGTTGTTGTTGTTGTTATTGTTGCTATTGCTGTTGTATTGTTGTTTTGTTGTTGTTACGTTGTTATTGTTGTTATTATTATTACCATTATTATTATCATTATTTTTGATTATATTAATATTATGTGAAATAAATAATATTAACCTATTTTTGCAATAGTTGTATGAAATAACCTGAATGTAATATGAAAGTTAGTGAATAGTTGATGTTAAAAATATAATTATTTAATAAACCAGATCAATCATCACTAATTTCTATTGATTATTTTAAGAAAAAGCGAAAGAAAAAAAAAAAAGTAGAAAATATTATAAAGAATTATGCTTCATATTTTTTTTTCTCCATAATTTTATTCTATATACTTTAAAAAATGTTGTAGTAATTTCATTTTCGATCACACAAGAAAAGAAAGAAGAAAAGTTATAAAAGAAAGAAAGAAGGAATGAAAAGGGGAAGAAAAAAGTTCTAACTTATAAATTGATAAATTAATTTGATAGCTACAAATAAATCTCATACAGCATAATCCTGTCGCAATCAGATAGGGAACAAAAAAAAAAGACTTGTCAAAAATTGTAATTATCACTGTCACCATTGTCAAAGTACTTCCCGTATTATATTTACATCGTATCTTTGTTGTATGATTTATCCTTTGTCAAGGTAATCGTTGTCTGTGGTGATGATGATGATGATGATGATGATGATGATGATGATGATGGTGATGATGACAGTGATGGTGGTAGTTATTTCATATATATTACTAATAATAATAGTAATACTAACTATAATAATTATAATCATCAACGTTATTATCATAATATTTGAGTGTTTAACTAAGAAATTTTTACATTAAAATAGAAGTGAAATGCTATTAACAAGTTTGTATTAATGTTTTACTAAAATTACAAATAAAATTTAAATAGCATTATGCTATAAATATTTTCTAATATGCAAGCATATAAATAAACATATTTTAGAATATTTTTTAATGCAAATTTAATTTCATATATTTTAAATTTTGCTATGAAATTCACTTTTCTTCATCAAACTTTAATCAGTAAAATAAAAATCACATTTTATTCATTTGAATTATTTTCATTATGCTAATTTTATTTCCAGTAATTATCACTAAATCAAATTTCTTCATTTGAGTTATTATATTTGAAATTTAGAAAATTTAAAAAGAAAAAAAAAGAAAAGAAAAAAAGAAGAAGGAAACGGAAAAGATAAAATACAAACTGATGAAAAAAAAAAGGAAAGCAAAGAGGAAAAAACAATTTTTTCCTTGATTTTTTTTTTATATTTTCGAAATATTTTTTGGGAAAATTAATTTTCATGAAATTAACACTATAGAAGACTTTGTTTATAGTTATAATCTTTCTTTTTTTTTTCAATAAATTAGATTAAATAGTACTTCGACGAAAGAAAAAAAAGCTATATTAAAATTTAAAAACCAAATTTTGTAGTTGCAGTAGTAGTAGTGGTAGTAGCAATAGTAGTTGTAGTAGTAATAGCAGTGATAACAACAGTAATAACAAACTTTCCTTTATTTTTTCATTCCTAGAAGTTTGTTTACATTCAGTACTCAGTCATTACCATCATTATTCCACGGTGCTTATCATGTATCGCGGACTGTTACCACGGAGATTCCACGGTTATCATCACGTATCGCGAAGTGTCACCGCGGGAGATTCCACGATTATCACATATCGCGGACTGTCAATGCGAGAATAAAATGACAAAGAATAAAACGCCTTATCAACATCTAATATAATATTATTTTCATATGTCTTGTCTGTCGAGGAGAAACATGTCAACCCGTGTCACCACCCGATTGTCGTTGTATATTTCGGTAGCGGGGTTTTCCACCATCTCTCGGATATGTATGCACGGATGAGTGAGTGTATGTGTGCGTGTGTGTATGTGTATGTCTATCACATATCTGTCACATACATCACAACATACATCGTAATCTTGTAAGGAAACGCATACGTATATACAAACAAGGAGGCTTCCTTCCATTTCTTCCATCCTTGCAATCCCATTCATTTCATTCACATTAATACGATTGTTTTTAAAATAAAGATTTAAAAGCTCATTATTATCCCAGAAAGTATCGTCAATAAAAATTTTCGTTTTTCTTTTTCTTTGCTTTCTTAAATTTTTTGAAAATTCTTATTATTTTTTTCTTTTTCAGTGATGTTAAATTATTCATCAACTTATATGATTATTGTTACATTCATGGCTATATTGCCATTCAAAGATAACAACAACAACAACAACAACAATTGGAAATACTGTTATTATCATTTGGAAAATTGCGAATAATTTATTATTGGTTGATCCGGAATTTTGTTTCGGGAAAAAGAGAACCGGTTTTAACCGTACGGAATTTTTATCTTATCAAATATTTATTTTCTCTCTCTCTTTTTTTTCATTTTTTAAAAAAAAAAAAACGGTGAATTTGTAACAAAAATAAAAAAAAAAAATAATGAGTGGAAACAGTTTATTATCATCATCATCATCATCAACAACAACAACAACAATAACAACAGCTACTACTACTGCTTTACCTGCATCGGTATCAGCAGCAGCAGCAGCTGGAGCAGTTGCATCAATAGCTACAGCAGCTGCTAACGCGATCCGAAATAGCAATAGCACAAGTAATAGTGGTAGTAGTAATAGTTGTAATAATACTGTGCTACAAACGACAACAACGCCCGAAGGCGGAGACAATAAGGTTGCTGTTAATACTACTACTAATGCTACAGCAGTAGCAGTAAGTGCCATCCAACAGTTGCAGCATCAACAACATCATCAACACTACCACCATCATCATCATCATCATCAGCAGCAGCAGCAAGTATCATCATCTTCATCACCATCATCATCATCATCATCATCGCAAATAGCAGCAGCAGCAACAACAACAACAACAACAATACCAATAGCTACGACAATAGCAACAACAGCAACAACATTAGCAATACCACCACCACCTTCTGCTATTGTTTTACCAACTCAGCCAAATTCAATCACTGGTCTATCATCACCATCTCAGGTTCACGAGATTACCTGCAATTTATGCCCGAAAACTTTTGCTAGTCAAAAATTACTTCAACAACATCAGCATATGTTTCATACTGATAAAGCATTCATTTGTGAAATTTGCGGTAAAGCATTTCGATTCCGGTCTAATTTAGCGGAACATCGATCCGTTCATACCGCACTTAAGCCATACGTTTGCAAATTTTGTGGCAAATCATCAAGGCTTAAAGGTTAGAACTTTTTTTTTTTTTTTTTTTGTTCTTTTATTCTTTCTTCTTCCTTCAAAAATTATTCATTTACTAGCTTTAATTGATTTCTCTCTCTTTTTTTTTTTTCTAAAATTTTATTTATTTATTCGTTTAATATTAATATGTCTTAATTATGCATTTGTCAAATGTTTCAATAAATTGACAAATGTTAGAAAAGTTAAAAAAATATTCTTTCATATTGATTGATTAAACCTAAAATGATAATAATAGAAGTGATACTTTCACTATTATAACTTACTAAACACTTACTCTCTTATTTTTTTTTAAATAATTTTGAATAAATTTAAATAAATATTTTTTTAGATGAATGCTTACTTTTCTTCCTTTTTTTTTTTTTTTATTAATTTATGCTAAACTTTTGATAATTTAAGAATATATTAGCTCAATTAAACTTCTAGCATTCGAATGCCATTAATAATACTCAAATTTTTTCTTCTTAATTTATCTAAATGAAAAGCAACATAGATATTTCTAGTTCTCATATATGCATTAGCATGTTTAATTGCATATTAAAAATCTTTACTAATAAATTTGAAAAACGGAGATTATTAATTCATAAATTTCATTGAATGCATTTTTATTCACTGATATTATTTTTTATTTCGTTTTTTTTTTCATCTTTTCGGACAATTTTTAACTTATAAATTGAATAAAATTTTAAAATTTTACCTGAAAAAATGCAAACTGATCAGATTTTCTCAATGTGCAAAATCGTTTTGCTATCATTCATTCGATTTCACATAAATTTTTCCTCATCCTTCTTGTCTTCCTGTCAAATCTATCACTTTGCTTAATTTATGTAAATGAAATCTATCATTTTTCTTCTTTTCCTTTTTATCATAATTAAATAAAGAGTGTTCATTCTTTCTTTTTTTTTTTCTTTTATTTCGGATAGCACATATTCAATTTAATAAAGTAGAAATGAAATGTAGAAATGAAATGAAATAAAATAAAATGAAATGAAATAAAAGCGGACATGAATGGAAACGATCTGTTGGTAGTATTGATAAAACAGTACCTACCCGCCCGTAACGTATCTTTATTCTACCCGCGGGCTGTTTGCTGCTTTATTTCGCCTAAGCAACTTTCATCATTGATTACTTGCACTGGTAAACTAGATTAGCTTGTTTACTCACAAATAATAACAAAATTCACACAGAAGAACTGATTAGACAGTTGGAGTAACAAAGAAGAAAAAGCAGTAAACACACAATTAACAAAAATAATTAAATGAATTATAACTAATAAATAATTAATGCAAACAATATATATATAATCAGGTAGAAAAAGAAAAGAAAGAAAAAGAAAATATTCTTTATTTTCTATTTTTTCTTTTTCTTTCTTGTTTCAAACTTTCAATGAACGAAAAAGAGAGAAACTTATTTTTAATTTAATTTTCAAAAAAACAAAAAAAAAAAGAATTTTAAACATTTTTGAAAAAAAGAATTGAAAATTTTTTACAATTGTTTTTTTTTTCTCTCTGTTGACTTTTTATAATTTTCAGCTTATTCAACTTTTTTTTTTTTGCCTTTTTATCCAACTTAAATTTGAAAATTCTTTTCTTTAATATTTTAGATTTTCTCTTAAATTGTTGTCACAGAGATTTGCGCTGATTTTTTTTTTTTTTTGGCTTTTTCTTGCAGCTGCAAAATAAATTTGAAATTATCGAATTTTTAATAGTAATTACACTTATACAGCAGAGAGTTAGTTTATAATTCATTAAATATTCGTTATTTGATGGCAAATTACTTATGCATACATACTATATTGTAATTAATTTTTACTTTCAGATTTAAATTTAAGATGTTGTGGAGAATTTGTTAATTGCTCAATAAATTCAGTTTAATGTTTTCTATTATTAGAACAAAATATATGAGAAAGAAAAAGAATGAAAAAAAAAATTGAGTAAGGTGGAAACTTTTACAATTATTAATAATTGTAAAAGTAAATTATTAATAATTTCGTTTTATTTAAATTTATCATTTCCACATCATTCAGCACTGATTAATTTACAGATAATAATTTATCAATCATTTATCGATACTTATTTTGGAATCGATTTTTCAATTCTAACACTTACTAAAATATGAATTTGAACTTTGACCAATACTTTTAAATCGTTGAAGCTAATTTGTTGGTAGGTATCCTGAAGAATTTTCGAAGAATTTTTTTTAATCACAGCTAATTTGAATGAATTTTAAAATTCATTTTCAGTTTATCTTTGTTATTTCACACTTTATGGTTAGTTTGTATTTCTTGCAAAATGTAACCAAAAATATTAATGTATCAATTATAGCACTGTAATAATTAAAGTTTAATTTGTAAACTTTTATTCTGTTTTTTTTTTAATTATCTTTAATATATCAGGATTTGATGTTTATTTCTACTTTGTATGCTTACTTAATTATACTCCTTGATAATTTGATAATTTAATTATCACTGTCTAGATGATTAACTTCAACAATTAAAAAGAATGAAAGTTTGCAAATTCATACACTTTCAAATGTTTAAAATAACCAGTGGTTAACAATTAATCTGTATGTTTTTACTCTAATATTTTATACAATAATGATATAATTTTATATTTGCAAATTATTATAAACCAATATGTTATTTCAATTATTAGTATTAAACTTTTTTAATAAGTAATTCTAACATTTCTTTCAAATTACAAAATCAAAATTGTAACTGGAATGATTATTAAACTTTTCATTAAAATAGTTTTTTGCTTTGTAAAAGTTGCTATCGGCAAAATTTTTAAATCTCATTTTAAAATCTGCTTCTTTTGTAATATTTTGAAGTTATTTATCATCATCATCATCATCATCATCATATTATTATCAGTAGCAACAATGTTATTATTATCATCATTTCTATCATTCAAACCTTATCACTCTTTTCATAATGATTGCTACTATTATCATTATTATCATTACAATCATTTAGTAATGATTATCATTTGTTACAATCATTTTTCCTTAACATTTTCCATACATTAAACTAATCAAAAGTAAAATGTTTGCTAGGACAATAGTAAAGAAGAGTTATTAGAAAATGATCAGCAATAAGATATTGCCATTATTAACTATATTGATGATAATTGTCATAGTAAATAAGCTCTATTCAAAAGGAATCGAAGATGAACCGGATTTTTCTCAATTCAAATCTCTTTCTATAGTAGTAGTAGTAGTAGTAGTAGTAGTAGTAGTAATAATAATAATAATAATATCTTTTTAAATGAATCAATAAATGGATGAAATCATTATTTTAGAAAAAACTTTTTAAGTAAATTTTTTAATTAATTAATTAATCATCAAAGAAGTGAAATAAGTAAGTATAACTGTAATTATTACATTAATTTATTAATAAAAAGAAAAAAAGAATTTTTTTTTTTGTTTTCTTCATTTCTCATGGTATTAATAATAAATCATTTATAAAATATGTATGTATTTAATTAAAATGATATATTAGATTTTTATATGAAATGTTAATAATTTACTTTTTTAATTATTTGTATTTAAAAGAAAAAAATGTAAAATAATCACGAATTATTGCTATTCCTATCAATATTAATTGATAGGAATAGAAAATGAATAATGAATAAGTAAAATAAAATGAATAATTAATTATATATATTTGAAAAATCAAAATTTTTTTTTTAAATTTTAATTATTTCAAAATTTGACTAATATTAAATATGCTTGTACATTTTATAACCATTAATTTTTTTTTTTTTGAAAAATAATTTTATGAAATAATCAGACATAAAGAGAGAGAGAGAGAGAGAGAAGCATGTATATATATATATTTATTTATTTATTTATTTACTAATAATCGGTAGAAGGAAAAGTACAGTGCATTCGCCTTTTGTGCAATTTATTGCATGTAATCAAATTTGTATATTCTCACCAGTATATATCGGTATATCCGGTTTTGTAAATAAGAATTGTCATTATCAAAATGTTCTACTACAACAGTGTGTCCCCTTTTTGATGACAGAAATACGGAGAAAGAGAGAGAGAGAGGGAAGAAAGAAGTAAGATAATAGTTGTAAATAGTAAAAGAAAGTTGAAGATGATCGGGGAAGATTAATATTTTTGATGAAAGAAAATAGATAAAATGCTAAATGAATATCTTAGAAGCATTTTCGTTTTTTTTTTTTTTTTTTTTTTAAATAGTTGATAATTGATATGATATATTGATGACAGTCATTTTCATTCATAAATGATTGTCATCGATTGTCTATCTTTTATATTTCTGTCCTTTGTCTACATTTTCATCTACTATATCTCCTCGAAAGTTGATTAATATGATCAGTTGATACTCTTTTCTCTTTTTTTTTTTTGGTATATGAAATTAAGAATGAAAAAAATATGAAATAATGATAATAATAATAGTTAATTTTTTGTAATTTCTTTTCTTTTCTTTTTAATTAAATAAAACTGAAAATGAATATTTTTAAAGAAATAACAATTATTTAAAAGTATGCATAATTTTGTAAATTTACAAAGGAGATGAAAGAATAGAATTTAACGATAATTTTCATCAATTTACAGATGATTATTTCCTATCCTTTGTCTACAATTTTTCATCTACTATATTTCCTTCCTTCTATATTCCTTGTTGGTGCATTCATGCATTTACTTTCTACCGTCATGCAAAAATTTTTGCCTTCGGTCATTTTGGTGATGACAATAACCACTACCATGAGACGAAAGACAGGACAGGGACAGGGACAGGGACAGGGACAGGACAGGACAGGACAGGACAAAACGGTCATCATTTGTAGAAAGTACTATCAAATATTTTGGGTTAGTGATGAATATGATAGAAGAGGAGGAGGTGGTGATGGTGGTGGTGGTGGACAAGGGAAATGGTTTCAATGATAATCGGGAAGAAAGAGAAATTTCTGTTCGAAACCTGTATTTATTTTATTATACTTGCATTTGGTTGGTGATAATAATGTTTGTTGACCGGATAAGAGATTTGGACTTTGTCATCGTTTAAATGAACACTTAGAAACAATGTAAGAAAGATGGAAGAAATTTTATATGTATGAAATGTGATAAAAAAGATGATAAAGAGGGAGAAAGAAATACAAAAAATAAAACTTATATTATATTCTCTATTTATTGTAGAAAAAAAAATTAATTACAATTAGTAAAAAATATATTTAATAATAAAAAATTTTCTTTCTTTTTGTTTTATTGTTTGATTTTACGAATGATAGATCAATTACACGATAATTTATTCTATTCCAATAATCTTTGTTCTTTTTCATTGAAAACATAATAAATTATTTGTAAAATTGCATATAAAATTTCAAGCTCAATTTGCCGATCAATAATTTAATCGATAATAAATTTTAAAGATTAATGCTATTACAAATCTTTGTTAATAATCCGTTTGTTTGCATAATATATTTTGTTAGATTATAATGATTAAATAATTAAGATTTTAAATATTCTATAATCTTTTTCATTTTATTTATAAATATATTTTATTTATAATAATATATAAATGGAAATATAATAATATTATTATTATAATTATTAATTATTATTTGAAATGAATGTTATTAAAACACATATGTTTATATAAAGTTAAAGCATGTGATCTATTCTTTGACAGTCGTGACAATTTTACAAGTAGACAAGAAAAAAGAAGTAAGAAAAAACTAATTGAAAATGGTAATTAATTTATTGAAAATGAAAATGATAATTAATTTATTGAAAATGACATTTAATAATAGATAATATATATTTCCATTTCAAATACTTTAAAAGTATATTTTTATTTAACAGTTAGTAATTTTCAGTAATGATATAGTTTATATCGCAGCATCGTATACTTATAATTAATAAATTTTAGTTATTACTAAATTGCATTATACTATCAAATTCTAATAATATTGTAATTATTGTATTCGTTTCTATTTATCATACAGTAAAGTTTTATGTAAAAACATTTATTGATGATTAGATAGATTTGATTAATGGAAATGATTGGATTATCATATTAATTTGTTAATTAATCATTAAATGAATGCAAACAATTTGCTTTGATTTATGAACTATTTTTATTTATTTCTTTTCAGAAAGTATAATTTTTGAATTACTTCAATTTTTATTTCTTTCTTTCTCTAAATCTAACATTTCTTTTAATTGATAATTAAATATTTCATTTCTAATATTCATTATATAAGTTTTACAAGTTTAACCAATGCTAAAACTACTCTTTTGCATTGATCAAACTATCGGATAAGCGACATTTTTAAATTTAAATTTACTCTTTGTATGGCTCTTTTAATTCAATTTTCTTCTCAACATTTGTAGTTTTTTAATTGGTAAATTTATAATTTAAAAGTGAAATTGAAATATAATGTGATTCATTTGTGTAACATCTGCTCTTTCGTTTGCTGTAATACATTTATATTACGTAAATTGAACGGATAATCTTTGCAGTATGAATTTAGACAGAAAAAAAAAAAATAGTTAATTAGTTAAGTCTAAGGATAAATTAATTAATCATACAATTCAATTTTTCTATGTGCTACAGCTTGTTCCTATTGCACAAATCTGCTGTAATCAATTAGTGAAATCTTACTTTTATAAATCTAAAAAAATTCAAATTTATTTTTCGAAATTTCTTTTTTTTTTTTTGCATCATTTCATGATGAATAATAAGAAACGGAAAATTTTATGTTGATAAAATCATTAAAATAATTGTTTAGAATAAAAAAATATTTCATTCTTAAAAAAAAACGAAAAGATATTTTGAAATATATCAATGGAACTTCAATTTTTTCTTTCTTTTTTAGTTTTTAAAACTTTTTCAAATACTTATTTTGGTCAATCTGCTAAGAATAATTATTCTCATTTTTGTTTCTTTCAGTAATAAATTTCGGATAATTTTTATTTTATCAAATTTGTCAGGTTAATTTATGTTATATTATGCATCTTTAAATAACTGAATAACTAAAAATTTTGTGTTTCAGGAAATTTAACGAAACATATTTTGAAACATCACAAGCAAGAGCAGAATGCCTACATTGGTAAAGATGATATTATAATTAAAAAGGTTTGGCTCTTTAAATTAAAATTTATTTGATAGAATTTTCAATTATAATAAATCAAATCTTTTTGCCCATAGGTTAGAGAAATTTTTAAATGAAACTTTAAAATTTTTTTTTTTTTTTCAATTGCAAACTGAGGATACTCAAAACTGTAGTGTGAATTAATTACAGGGTAAAAAATCGGTGAAAGATCCCGCAGCTGTTGATTTCCTTGAAAAATCCATGATAGTATTGACTTCCGGTACCTCAGAGAATCCGCTTAATTTACCCGCACAGAAAGATGTAATTTTATTTCTGCTTGTTAAATTTATTTTTCAATTAATTGAAACTAAGTGATCCTATTTGAATTATGAAATTAACTGTTTTTTTTTTTTTTAAGTTAATTTCAAACTTTATAAAAGATGATAATTTTTAGGAAGCAATGGATGATGAGAATGATAAGGGTCGTTCAATATTTATGTCTCTTGGCCTTGATACGGGCAGTATGGATCTCAGGTCAGCTTCACCTGAGGAAGAATCCATTTTTACGGTTCATGGTTAGTAATTAAAATTTTGATATATTACTAAAATTATTACAATTATAATTCTAACAGATCTCTTGCATGCTTTCCATCTCTTGAATAAGTATAATTACTTTTGTATAAATCATGATTTTACAACTATTTCAAATTTAACATTACTATAAAATCTTATATGCAATTCTATTTGTCAATTAATTATTCTAATTTCTTCTTCATCTACCACTTTGAATTTTTTTTTTCCAATTTTTAATACCAAACTAACTTATTACATTCATATTTTCAATTAAGAATTAGAAAGGAAAAAACCGGAAAGGGAAATTTTTATTTATTACTCATTTATAATTGTTAAATATAAGTTAATGCATTATAATAATATATACTTATAATTGAAGTATATTACTATACTTATACTTTTAAATTAAATTAAGTTAAATTAATATTATTGTTATTACAATTTTCACTATCATAATAATACAACATTACATTAATGCACACAGACAGACACAGACATACACATACATACACATTGACATGTATATATAGTTATATAATCAGTGTAGATGATATACTATTACGCTATCGGATTTAACTGAATGAATTTACCAAATGACTTTTCACTTAACTTCAAATGAATTTCCTTTAAAACTTTTGTACTGTGCTAATGTGTAATTTGAATCGTTGAAATAGTTAGTTAAAAGCTCTTTGAAATGAAATGAAACGAAATTTAAAACGAAACCGAACAATCATTTTATTGTAATAAACTGCAATTGGCATTGTTGCCGTGCCGCCACTCTTCGGTTCATTCGTCACTGTTGTGTTGTAATCGTCTGACTTTTAAGATAATAATGCTACAACATTGCTTATGATAAGCGTAAATAAACTAAAATTTTAAGGGATGATCATTGAAATGAGAATAAAGTTTAATTAATTAATTAATTGAGATTATTTTTCCTTTTTTTTTTATCTTAATATTAATAATGTTTGAAATAATAAACTAAAAATTTACGAGATGATCATTAAAATATAACTAATTAATTAATTAATTGGGATTATTTTTCTTCTTTTTTTTTCCTAATATCAGTAATGTTAGAAATGATAAATATATGTAAAATTTTAAGAATGATAAAATAATTGAAATTTTCTCATGGTTTTTTCTTTTTTGTTTCATATGGTATAAGTGATTATTGTAAAGAAAATTATTATTTTTGTGCAAAACAAAAAAAAGAAAAAGGAAAAATTTTTGATGATAAAATTATAGAAATTTTTTGAAAGAAAAAAAAAAAAATTTATCATTATTTTGCTTTATTATGTTTTTGTTTTGCTTCTCTTTTTTTTTAAACGAAAATAAACTGTACTTCTTTTTTCAATTTTTTTTTTTTTGAATCTTCTATATTACATTTAAAAGTACAAAAAGTTTTTGTTTATTTACATTATTAGTTATCAATATGAAAAAGAAAAAAAAAAACATGATATTGTAAGATTTGAATAAGTGAAAATATAAATTTATAAAAATAAATCTTTTTAATCAAAGAGGAAATAAGAGAAGTAACATTCTAGGATTAACAAAATTAAATTAATTTTCAGCATAACTATTTATTCTAAGCTATCTTCATAGACTTACAGTATACTCAATACCTTTTCCACATTACCGTACATTTGATAAATAATTGGAATAAATGATAAGAATACTATTTTTTTGTTGGTCTCCCTCTCTCTTCTCTCTCTCTCTCTCTCTCTCTCCTTATTTCTTATCATTCACTCAGTATTGGTTCAAAGGTTGAAGTAAAGCAAGAAGATATCTGTGATATGTTCGAGAAAAAATTTTATAAAAATTGAAATGATAAGAATTTAAAAGTTTACAGTATATTTCAGCTATATTTAGAAACAAACAGTGGTACAAATGAAATAATGGCAAAAAGCTTACAGTATGAGCTGAAAGATATCATTTTATCACTTTATTCGATTGTTATAATTTCTCGCAAATGCTACTGAAAATTTTATTCTATTTTGTAATTTCATTAAACGGACAAAGAAGGAAGTAAAATGAAATATTTATACATATGAATAAACATGAAAATAATTAAATATGGTAGAATTAAGAAGGATTAAAATGAATTGAAGGATAATTCAATTCAGTAATAAATTTATTGTTAAATCAGTGATAAAGGTTAATAGTTGTAAATTCGAAATAATTAAGAATTAAATTGTAAGCGTGAAAAGTTTAATTAGGATCGTAATATAAGAGAATTAATGATTTGATAGATTAGAAATGATAAATATATGATTAGTTTTAAGCTAGCTAAACTAGAATTCAATAAAGTTTAAGCTTATCTATTTGGGATAGAGTAAATATTTTAGACTAAGTTAGAATAAAAATAAAACAAAATGAGTTATATAAAAATTAGAAAATTAGAACAAAATGCATTGTTGTTATGATTATATCAAATATTTTGATCTGTTATAAATTAACTTAATAAAACTTACTTTTAATAATAAATTAGCATATGATTAAAGAATATATTTTCTAATTCTCATTGATACAATCATAAAATAAAATATTATTTAACATTTTCTGTTGAAAAGGAATCTATTCAACAGCATTACAATATTCTATTATTATGGTATTTCACCGAGTATTTAGATTAAAGGATAAAGTCATTTCAATAAATGTAAATGTCATTTCAATAAAAGAGTACTTAAAATATTTTTTAAAAAAAAAAATAATAGTAACCGAAGGATTTGTTCTTTGTAATTGTTAAATCAATCCGTAAGAGGTAATTTAAAGTAAAGTAAATATTTATAACAATGTGCAATAATTAAAAAGTTGAAGTATGCTTGACTTAATTTTTATTCGGTTTAATTTTAACCAAGATTAATGATAAGGTAAGTTACAGTATGAAGAATTTAAATCATTTTAGTTATGCAAATTTTATTATCATTTTGGTTTTTCAATTCCAAAAGTACTTTCAACTTTTTTTTTTTTTTTTTTGCAAAAAAAGTTGACTTTTTAAGGTAAATTGACTGATTGTATATGTAGGTAAGTTGATGACATCAGAACATTAGTGAAACATTTTGATTTAAAACAGATGCTAATTGAGAGATATTAAAGACATCTGAAATGCTAAGTTTTGAAAATGTTTTATTTACCAAAAAGTTTTCTTTTTTGATAATTGAATTTTGAATTATTTAAAAAGACACACAGTGATGTCACTTTTTCTTTCTCTCTGTTAGTATTTCTGATAAATTTGTACCATAAGTACATAATATATTTGCATTTTTGATGAAAAAAAAAAAAAAAAAGAAAGAAAATTCTGATTAAAATTTGCAATTATTTTATATTTAATTGTTTAGCTCAAATGTGAGAATTGAATTTTCTAATCTGAGTTTAATTTTTCAACAGAATCAATTCTTTTCTTTTTCTCACTATTTCTCTTTTCTGTAAAATAAATTTTAGAATAGATTTTATTTTATTTTATTTTATAACAATTTCTTCCATCAAGCAAAAATACTTAGCAATCATAGTTTCAATTTTATACAACTATTTCACAGTGTTATTTTATTTATTTATTTTTTTTTAACCAATTTCATTTTATTCTACAAAATTTGAAAAGAGCTCTTTTGTTTTTGTTTAAATAAAATGCGAATTTTTTTTTTTTTTGCTTTGTTTAAACAAGAATTTTTTTTTTGCTGATAAAATTTGCTAAATTTAGATGAAATTTTTTAAGATTTCATTTTTCCTTTTTTTTTCAAATTTATATAATATTGAAATAGTTGAGAAATATAAATATTATTAATTTGATAATTGAATGCATAGATATATGTTATTGATGATGGCACCTAATTATTCTTTTGTTTATTAGCATTGCTCGTTACTCATACTAATTTATGCATAATTATGTTTGTTTCTTTTTTTTTTTTATTAATGCCTGAAAATAAGCAAAAAAAAAAAAAGAATTGAAAAAGTGATGGAAAGATTCAAGGCTTTTTGACTGATTAAAATTGAAATTAGAAATGGATATGAGGAAATAAAATGAAATTATTCATTAATTCGATATGTAATTCATAAATTAAATCAAAAATATTTTTTGATTAATATATTGTATGCATGCTAATACTAATTTTCTTTCTTTTTTTCTAATACAAAAATGATAAATAACTTTTGATATGTCATTTAAAAATATTAAAAGAAAAAAAAAAGAAACAAATAATCGAATTTTATTACAATTTTCCGTTTTCAGTTTTATTAAAAAAGAAAGAAAGAAGAAAAAAATTTTTTTTTTGTTTTCATTGAGTATTCATTAAATGACAAATTTTATTTTTAATTTAGTAATTTAATGAAGCATGAACTAAAACGGAATTTATACAGAAGATTATAGGCGAGAAACCGGCTGTCGATCCGATGATAGATGAACATACTGGAATGGGCGGTGGTGAATTGGATTGTGACGAGGGTACGTCATCACCGCTCAACAATATTAGTACTAACGAGCATCTTACCTCACTGATCGCTCATATGGCAAATAATACACGAACTCAATGTCCGGAATGTGGCAAACATTTCCGTAAAGGTTTCTTTATAGATTTGTTTTTCTTTTTTTTCCGTTTTCTAAAGATTACAGTTCTTAGATGAAGTAAAAGTTATTATAAATACTAAAAAAAAAAGAAAAAAACTTAGAGTATTCGCTAAAAGCTTTTTCCCTTCATTTTCTTCTTTTTTTTTTTGTTTTTTGTTTTTTTCCTTTTACATTAGAAATAATTCATAACATTCCGAGTAACTAACTATCTGAGAGCATTCTGAAAGGCCACATGAGAATATTCCGGAAAATTATGTGTGAATATCCTGAAATACTGCATAATAGCATTTTGAAAAATTATATGAAGGCATTCCAGAATGCGATATGTAAGGATATTCTGAACCACCATTTAAGAATATTCCGGAAAATTATATGAGCACAAAAAAAAAAAAAAAAATTAAGACAATTAAAAAAGGGAAATTGTTGCAATACATAAAATCTGATCAAGAAAAAAATAAGTGGTTGTAATTAATTCTTAATCAATTTCAATCAACAATTCATTAAATGGTACTTTATAAGCAATATTCTAAACAAAATTAAATTATTTGTCTCTCACTGACTTATACCAAAATTTATTTACAAATAATAGCAATTTTAAAAGCAAAAATTTTCATATAAATAATTTGAAAGATAGACAAAAAGTTATTTCTGGGTTTGAAAAGTATTTGTTTCAAGCAAGATAATCATAATGGAGAGTAAAACTTTATTCTTATAAATGAGATAACATTTAAATTGCAATGCAATAAAATCATATCACATCACAATCACATATACTGGACACAAATCAATCCATTTGATAAGATAATCTATTCATTTAATAAATTAAGTTAAAAAAAAAAAAATTTAATTAAATGAACAGAGAGGAATTCTAGCTTGGTAATCTGAATGAATAAAAACGATCAAGTCATAACATTACAACTGATAATTTGATAATCATAATATTATAACTGATAATTTGATAATCATAATATTAATTGATAATTTGATAACCATAATATTGATATGATTTCAATTCCTTAGGCTCATCATTACAAGTGCATATGACACTGAATCATGGCTTTCCACCACCTGGTAGTTCAATTTCATCTGATGATCAGGTTGAGAAGTGCTCTGATTGTGGCACTTCAGCCGAACCAGGAAATTCTCAGAATGAAAATCCGTCATCGGCACCGGTTCATCAGGAAATTAAGGAAATTAAATCAATGATCGGTGAATTACGATCAGCTCAAAGTACGGCACGTGTTGAGCAGGTAATTTCTTTCTTATTAAATAACTAAATTATTTATCTTTTTTTAATACTGGTAAATTTTTGCTTATGAACTTTTCATTTTTTATTAAAAAAAAAGAAAAATTGAACTAAGCAAGAAGAAAAAGAAAAAAAAAGAAGAAAATTTAAAAAAAATGAAAAATTTCAGTTATTGACTGGTTTGGATACACGTGTTGGACGATTAGAGAAGCAATTGGAAATGGCATTAAACAGTATTTATACATTGGTTCAATTACAAACCGGAATTAATTCATCCGTAACAAGGTTCAGGGAGGAAGCTTGTGAGCAACTGAAAACAGTCAAAGCAATGCTCAGCGAGTCTTCCGTTTAAAAAAAAAAAAATTCTTTTTTTTTTTTTTTTTTTTTGTTTTTTGGTATATTTTAACAAAAACAGAATAAGAAAGTAGAAAGAGAAGAGAAAAAGTTTTTTTTTTTTTTAAAAAAAAAGTTTTAACAGAACAATCATTCATTTCAAGAAAAAAAAAATTTTAATTTAACAAATGAAATTAATTTTGTATGATGATGATATTTTTTCTTTTTCTTGGTACCGTTTTTCAACTAATTTACACTAATAAAGAATGAGAAGTTAACTTTTTTTTTAAAAAAAAAAAAAACTTTTAAAATATCTTTGTCGAAGTATTTTAATTTTTTGACAAAAATAATAAGAAAAAAAAAGTATGAACAAAGATAAGATAAAGAGAGATAGAAATTATTATTATATGCCAAGTAGTTTTATTTATGTTACATATTATTTATTTTCATTTGATGTCTTTTTTTTTTTTTCAATTTAAACGAAATGGTAATGTTTTCTCATATGCTTCTCTCAATCTGAGTAATAATTATAATGTTGATAACATTATTATTACTGTTATTTTATTATTATTATTATTATTATTATTATTATTATTATTATTATTACCACTATTAATAACATATACTCTTCTCAGCCCCGTATATTTCTCAGGTATTTTCTCTACTTAATTACAATTTTATCAAGGAAAAAAAAAAACTTTATGTCAGAAATTTTTCTTAAATATTAATTTTTAAAAATAATTCTCAAATCGTTCATATTTTATTTCTAACTGAAAAGTCTAATATTAGCAATTAATTCAAGTATTTTAGTATCATAAAAAGTTGATATCATTAAATTATAAATGCTTTTTGTAGAAAAATACCAAAGTATCAATAATTTTTTTTTTTTATTTGGGGCAAAATATTGATTACTATTCTACCTCTAAATAAGTATTTGATTTTTATTTGAAAAATTTTCAAACAATGAATATGTATCATTGTCAATAATTGAATGTGTAATGTAATTTGTGTTTGTTGCTAAATATAATTTTAAATTTTGCTAGATGAGTATTATTATTATTATTTTATTATTATTACTATTAATATTATTATTGTCGTTATAATTACATACTTATTATTCATTGTATTAAATTCGAATTATCATTTCTAATATTTCTATTCAAATTAGATTTCTTTTTTTTTTACATTTTTCGTTTTTCTTTCCTTTAATATATTATAATAATAATTAATTAATTAATTAATTAAACAAACAGCTAATCTTTGGTATGGACAATCTAGTCAATTAAAAACTTTTATTTCTTTTTTTCCTTTTTTACTTTTCCTCCCTTTTTTCTACTTTTCTTTTCTTTTCTTTTTTTTTCTCTTTTATTTTTCTTTATGATATTTTTTTTGAAATAATCAAATTTTATCGCTTTCGTTGTAAAAGCTCTTAAAATATTTATTAATATGATAAAAAAAAAATTATTTCGCCTTTTTCATGCCAATAGTTTTTCTCAAAATTTTTAATTATCACAAATTTGCAAACATCCGTAGTAAATTTAAGTCTTATCTTTTACAATTGAAATTATTAAATATCAGAAACTATTGATGGGAAATATTTTATTAACTTATTTTCTTTTAACAAATTAAATTTGATAAAATTTTGATTAATTTCGAGAAAAATTGAAAAATTTTTCAAGCCTTTTTTTCTTGTTCAAATTTACAAAAAAATTTTATTAACTCTAAATTTCTAACAAAACAATTATATTAATAAAGTAAAATATAACGGACAATTTTTTTTTTTAATAATATTTTAAAAATGGTGAAAAAAAAGAAGGTCGCATATACTTTTAATTCAATTAAATTTTTAAATTTAAAATAAAGCGTTGAAAATTTTTCAAATTAATTTTAACTTTTCATAGTAACAAAGAAAAAAATTTTTTGAATTAAAAATATATTCGCATCGATTATTTTCAAAAAAATTTTTTCTATGCTACGGATGTCTTTTTTTCTCTTCATTCTATTCTTTTATCTTTTATTTTTCTTTATCCTTTCTCTCTCTCTCTCTCTCTCTCTATTTCTTCTTCAATGAAATGTGCCATATAATTTGGCTAAATTTAAAATTTTCTAAACTTTTTTTTTATATTTTATTCATTTCTCTCTCTTCTCTCTCTCTCTCTCTCCCTCTGCTTTTTTTCTTTTTTTTTTGATTTAAATATAAAAGAAAAGTATGTAAATTTACGTTAATTTCTTCATAGTCTTTTTATTTTTCTTGCCATACCATTCATTATTACACTTTTTTGATGTGCTATTTTTTCTTCTTTTCTTCTTTCTTTCTTTTTTTTATCAAATATTCTTTATTTGCTTGTAATGTTTCATCTTTTTCTCTTTTTCTTTTTTCATTTTCGTATGATCTCATGTTTTTTTTTTTTTTTTTTTAAAAAATGTTGAAAAATGCGTCTATTTGTGAATTAGCAATGGATGAAAAGTGTGTTTATTTTTCAAAATGCAAAACAAAAACAAAAACAGAATGAAATGAAATGGAATTAATGCAAATTCAAATGAAAAATGTAGTAAATAATATTTTAAAACGAAATTAATTGATTAATTAATTACTTTATATGCATTACATATGTATATTTGAATTATTAAAAAATTGATTAAATGGAATTAATGTTATGGTACGGTAAGTCATATTAGATATAGTAGTATATAAACTTTTATTGACAATCATTTTTTTCTTCAACTTTTAAAATATTTTTTTTTTTTTGAAAATTTGAAACATTTTCAATTTTTTTTTTTTAAAAAGAAAATTCTGTTAGACATTTTTTTGTTTTTTTAGCTTTATTCTGGCAACAAGAAAAGATGGGTGGAGTATGATGAGAGATCACAAGTCTTAAGTAAACATAGTAAAATTTTAGTTTATGACAGCTGTTTTATTTATGATTAAATGCATCTCAAATTGTTTTAGATGCACAAAATTTATATTTACATAAAAAAAGGCATAGAAATTAAAATTATGTAAATATTTTTCAGAATTATTATGATTAGCTTATGATTATTATGGTATGAAATATCATGATATTAACAAAATTGAAATGATTTAAATAAATTATCGACAACCAAATGAAATACTACGGTATCGAACATTCATCCGAATTATTATCATGTTTATTTTCGTTATGTTTATTTTCATAACATTCCTTACTCTGATATCATGAAGTGAAAAGAAGAAAAGTATTAATGGTATACGATAGATGTTACAGTACCAAATTGAGATGAATGCCAACTATAAGTTAAAAATTACGGTATTAAATTGAAATTATACACCTGAACGATACGATGCAGTGCTGTATCTTTCTTTTTTTCTTTTTTATTTTATTTTTATTATTTATAAAGCATTTTATACTCAAACACTTTTGTCCTTCAATTTTTGTCTCTTAATGAAAAATAAAAATAAAAAAAAAAAAAGCAAAAAATGACATCAAATGAGCACATGCAATTGAGTGAAATCCATTGGTTCATATTAAAGTTATAACTTATTAATACTGTTAAAAAAAAAAAAATTTTTTTGAAAAATTTAGCAACCTCTTTTATTGATTACTGAAAATATTGATAACAATAAGATGAGGAAAAAATTTTTTGCATTGTTAAACTCATTACCATCATCATTGCTGTTACTATTATTGTTATTATTATTATTATTGTCAATGTCTGATATTTGATAGTTATAGTTAAGAAAAGTTAATAACTATGTTGTAAACAAGCAAATGGTTGCAATATATAATAATAATAATACGTGGTAAGTTAAACTAACTGTTAAACACAACAACTGTTTAGATATTTTCAAAAAATGTTGTTAAATCTTTGAAAAAGAACTATATTATTGGAAAAAAGAAATGTTGAAGGAATTGTTTTTAAAAAATATTAAATTTATTAAATGTTAAATTTTTACTTTTTTTTTTTTTTTGTAAAAAATACCAAAAAAATCATGTGGAAATCTTACCAGACAAAAGTAACTTGTTTTTTAATAATATTAAAATGAAGTTTTGGGTTTCGAAAATTTGGATAAAACATGGTAAATAATTTAACAAACAGAAAAAAGGAGGTATTTTCTTAGGAACTGGAAGTTAAAGGAATAAATGAATGAACGGAATAGTTCTCACTTAAATTTTGAATTGTACCGTTCGAAGTTTACACTGCTAAAATATAATTAAATTCATTATGATCTAACATGTGATTATTTAAGTCTTTTATTTTAGAATAATTTTAACCAATCAAGTTAAATCTAAGACAATGCATCCCATAGCTAAGCATAAATAATCATTTTAGGAAGTTTTATTATAATATGAGGTAAAATCAATCAAAAGTTTCTATTCCATAATAACAGTGCCTTTAAATAAATTATTCATGTTCTTTCTGGTTTGACGAATAAGGACTTCACATCTTCAGTAGAAATTTCATTGTAAGAAATGTGGCACAGTTTAGTAAGTAAAATTAGATCACGTGATGAAATATTGATTAATATAAAAATGTTGCTTAATTAAATAATTGAAATAATGGGAAACATTAAACAAAAAGACTAATTTATAATCTGCAGGGCAAATTAATTAAAGAAATGAAAAGTGTTTTAAAGTTACTCATATTTCAATTTTCACAGAAACAACTAAACTTTGCCACATTCCTCTGTAGCAATTCATTTGTCAAAAAAGATTCTTTTTAAATATCTCACTGTACTGCTTTTAAAACATAAGATGTAATTAATAGATGAAGAAACATTTTTCAAGTAAAACATTTTATTTTATTTGAGTTCACTTTGAAAATACTATTGACATCAAAAAAGTAGTAAAAAGAAAAAAATATATTTTACATCACACAGTGGCAGACATGTAGGCATTTCAGTTTGTTTTTTTCTTCAGAAGCATATCCACAGCTGATCGTAAATCATCAGCCAGCAAATCTGGCTTAATGCTATGATTTATCCAAGACTGTCTGAAAAATGGAATAAAGCACTGTGAAAAAAGAATATGTGAAGTGTTTGCTTTAACCTAATTCTGCGATAAAAGTCATTATTGAAGATATAACATTAAATTCTTCATAGAAATATGAATGTGAAATTCTATTAAATTATTTCAATCACCTCCATTTTCCTGTTCGAACTTGCACACCTCTGATTCCAGCTTTCTGCGCCCCACCAACATCCGACACAATATCATCACCAATCATTACAACCTAAATCGTTCTTCTTTCTTAGCAAATTTCAATTTTACTTCAGTTAACTACATCCAAAACATGTTTATTTGTTTCGGTTTTCCATGGATTTAGAATTGGTGATGAAGGAAAACAAACAGGAAGAGAATAATATATGATACCACTGAGAAATAAAAGTAATATAGCAAACTATAATAGGAAATTACTTGTGAGATTTTATCACACAGTGATAAATTATAGCTTAATCTAAAATAATTTGAAAATAATATTAACCTCGTCGGTGGTTAAACCCATGTCATCAATAGCAGCTTTGAAAAATTGCTCATCTGGTTTTCCAATAGTAATAACTCGTGCATCACATGCATACTGCAATGCACGTGTGAAACCACCAACATCCATACATGGTCCATCCATTCGCTGATAAAATTTTCTGGAAAAAAAAGCTTTTATAATAAATTCATCAGCAACTAAATGAACCCATTTAACATTTTTCTTCCTAACCATTTAACAATTATTTTCAATCAGAATGTAAATTCTTAACATATTCAATACTACTGGGAGTTCTTTGTCAAGATTGCGTGCCATCACATACTTGTCAATCATTAATTTTTTTCACTGATGTGATGAATTTGTCCTATTCAAAAAATATTAGGACTTTTTCCAAAAAAAAAAAAAATCATAGAGGGACAAGATAAAAGAAAGAATAAAGATTCTAGTGACAATAAATTAAAATGCAATGGATTATAATGCTTTGACTATTTAATATATTACTATGTCCAATATATTCTAAATTACTAACCCACAACCTAAAGTAACAATCAATGGATCATCCGTATCATGCAAAACTCGAAAAGCAGCATTCATTGTTTCATAGGTAAATCCACGTTCAGCATCACCCAATAATACGCAATTCGGATGGTTTGTATTGAGATCTCCAAATTCCTCCAGAACACCTCGAATAAAATGCACAGTGAATATTTAAAAATTTATTTTTTCTAACGGCAAAGACGTTTAAACGTTTAAAACTAAAACTGAATGTAAGAAATGTGACTCAAGTTTAAAAATATGAGATTTCACATAAAAATTCTACGACATGCCTTTATGCACCAGTATATGTGGTCTAAGATTATGATCCTTGATGTATCGCTTCGCTTCTGGGACTGGCATAAAAATGTGTTCCTCATTTAGAGTAAATCCAAGCTTTGTCAATTTTTCGAATAAATGTTTACGATTGCGTGTACTTTCATTTGTCACAAATCGAACTGCACTTTCAGCATACAATCTGAAATTTTTTAATTTTAGCAAAATCAAAAATTCTAGTTCTAAATGCAAAAAGTTCCAATTAGACGATCTCTATGATGTGGAAATTCTTCTCGAATGTTGAAAATTTGCTTCGTAACTAGAAAAAAAGATACAGAAATATTTTATTAAGCTAAGCTAACTTAGACGTTATAGTATTCTCAATCTCAATTTTAAATTATGTTCACGTTGACAATAAACATTTAATCATGTAACTGAAAAATGCAGAATGTTCACAATATCAAAAGTTTGATTATTTTTTTTTTATCCAATTTGCTGGTAAGTTAAATACATTTTTTTAACATTTTGATAGTTGATATATCAAAAGAGTTATGTTATTGATTGCAGATAAACAAAATCCAATTCAGGTTTCAAACATTTTTTAAAACAGCGCTGATTAAGAACATGAATTAGACAAAAGTATAAGAACAATATTTAGATTAAGTCAACAAATTTCAATTTTTAATTAAAAGAATACAAAACCTATTAACTGCCTCTACTGATCCCTGTATAACACGTCCAATAGTGTTTGGATCACTATTGTATAAAACACCGGTAATATCTAAAAGAAAACCCTTCACCGGTTTGCTACTGACATTCATTTCCTGCAAAAAGAGTGCACATAAATGGAACAAACTGCAGCATTAAGTAAACATCATTCTTAAAATGGAAATCATCATAAATTTTGATCAGAAAAGGATTAAATCCAAAATTTATTTAAAATTCAGCAATCAACATTATGGCTTAAAATGAAGAACTGAACGAATAGAATCAATAATTTAAGTAATATTTCCGCAGCTGCATATAGCTTGAAAGAACTGCTTGACTAATTAATAACTGACTGATAACTGATTAACCGATTAATTATCTTGTAAGAAAAAAGAAAATGGTAGCTATGAATTAATTGAAAAATGAACCAAACTCAAACAGAAATTAAAATATTCAAACAGATATAATATCGAGAATTAAATGAATCAATCAAAAACTGAATATTAATTCACCATAATAAACATAATTATATGCAAACTGTTAGGAGATTAAAAAAAGGATTAAATTTAAAATTTACTTTAAAAAAAAAAAAAAGCCACCAATTCGGTGACAATCCCTTCCCACACACTGATTCTCTCGATGTAAACGTCTTTAAGTAATTTTTTTCTTCTGGCAACTTGAATACCAACATGGAATTTATCAGGTTTATATTCAAATTGCTAAGAGAAGAAGCTTAACTTATCTGTTGTTAACTTCTGTTATCAGTAATCATTCCTTATCTCTGACCATTCAGAACATTTTCTTTTCTCGGTAATATTTTTTTTTTCGTCTTTAATATCATAAATACCAGTTTATCTTCTATTAGCTGTTTGTTTATTATTTTATCAATCTCTAAAGGTGTACTATCTTGGAAATCTTATCATTCTTTACTTTCCTACAATTATCCTTTTTTTTTTAAAAAAAAAATTTTTTCTAATGTTTGCTAGAAATAATTTAAATTTTGTAGTCAAAAAAAAAGAACGAAAAGTATTGTACGATATTGTAATACATATCATATAATAATTTTCTTACGTAGTGTAACATACGTGGCATAGATTGCTAACTGTTTAGAATTTTCAATTTATTAAAGTATAAAAATTTTCGTAACTGAGATATTTTAATTTCGTTGCAGTAATAGACATAATTAGTAAGCTTAAATTAGGTATATACTTAAAAATGGAATGTGGTAGAGAAATTTTTAATGAATAGTAGACTATGGATAGTGTATAACATGAATGATATGTTATGTTTTTGTGTTTTATTGCAAAATTTTAAAATTCAAATTAACATTTAGTGATAATGTACTTTTTCTGTATAACTTTTCAATTTTGACTGAAAATATTATTCAGTACATTTCCACAAGCTCATTGCTATAATATTAAATGCTTTAAAATATCGTTTTAATTTTTCCTTCTTTTTTTTTTCTTTATGTTAAAGTTAATTAATTGTTGGTACAAATCGTTAGTTCGAAATTTTAAGGATATTCTCAAATTAAATCCATTAAAAAAAAAAAAAGGGGGAAAAATTTCATCAAAGAAATTGAATTTTTAAATCTCAGATTTTTTGTAATGATTGAAAATATATCTAAATATAATTGTAATCAAATATAATTGTGAACAAATTTTGCTTCTCTCTTGTTAACGTTTATTATTTAATGATTAACTATAACACTTTATTGTTTGAATTTTCTTTAAAATTTACGGATTATAATGGAAATTAATTGGTTGGTAATTGATAGTGTTTGCCACTAATTTTAAGTAATATTTTTTTTTTTTGTATGGCTGAAGTTTATTTTAAGTCTCGCCATTTTCTATCCTAGTGGACAAAAAAGCCTTTTTTTCCCTTTCTCTTTCTCTCTTTCCCTCTCTCCCTCTCTCTCCCTCTCTCTCTCAGTGTCGGATCGAACATTTGGTTAGGAAACTATTGCTTAAGAAGAAATGAAGCATATTATTTACGTTATACTATAATATTTGTTCTTTTCATTATATTCTTATCAATATTTTTTTCTTTCTATATATCACAAATATTATATGAATGTTAAAATTTTCTCCAAATATTTTTTAGAAATTTATTTGATGAATGTTTGAAAATAAAAATCAATTATTGTAATTTGTTTTCTTCCAAATTAAAAATGTAATATTCTTTTTTTTTCAGGATTTTTTCGCTTGAGAGATTTTTCGTTTTATGATTGTAAAGTAAAAGGAAAAAGGATTGAAATGGGCGTTGCTTGGGTTTTCGAAACTGACAAAAGTGCTGTTAGCATTGAACGTGCAATTGAAGGAGAAGGTGGTGTTAAAGGTGGCATTTTCACGGTTGATTCTACACCATTTAAACCAAGTGATAACGTTCAAGGAGCTATCAATCATGTATTTATCTTGCATCATTCACGTTTCCCGCAAAGTACTTTCACAATAGCACCAAATGAAAAGCAAAAACATTGTCCGCGAGCAATATCCGATCGTGGATTTGATTGTATTTTAGCAAAGCTTAGTTCCGGATTGGTACAAGATACTGCGGGAAAATTTGAAGTTTCTGGACATGAATATACATTGCAAGATTTTATTATTCGAACCGGGAATGCCTCGATGGGTGTAATTAGCAAAGGTGTTATTGTTGAAGTTGAATATGCACCATCTTGCGTAGCATCACAGTGTGGTAACTTTTTGCAAGAATTTGTAGCAGTTTTTTTTCCGGATCATGTTGCTGATAAACCGGCGGTTTTGCAAAAAGCACAACCGGAACCATATAGTGCCCTTGATACCATGCATCAGTATTTGGATATTTTTCAAAATATGCGAAAAAAAACATAAGCCCATTTGATTTGTATATATTTTAAGAATTGAATGGAGAGATTTTAGACATTTTCATCAGTTAAATTGGAAGTTACAAAAAGTTGTGGAACATATGAGCTTTTTAAAAAGTGGATTAACTTAATGCTATTAAATAATGATTTATGGAAGTCAAGTTTAGCAATATTTCCTTCACGATAGTTCTCAACATAGGGCCGTAGTTAGTTGATGACAAATTGTGATGTCAGTTTAAAATGGTATCTTTCGTCACAAAATTAACTTTTAATACCTTAAATTATTTAAATTTCGCTTGTCTTGAAAATTCTCATAGAAATGTGTTTTAACGCACTGGAAGAAGCCAAATTTCTAAGCACTGTTAGTTTTTACTTTACTATTTTCAGTAACTTTGTAGTAGTTTCAAACTTTTCAAATTGTTTCTTATTTTATTTTTCGTATTTGTGTAAATAAATGCTACTTTTAACTTGTAAAGTTCATTTTTAATGCATTTCTTCGCATGTTGTTGGCTGAAATAAAGAATTGGAACAAACTGTAAAAGATACGAGTGTTGCAGGTTTTTTGTTAAGTTTGGCCGTTTTTTCTAAATCCTCCAAACTTGTGCCTTTTGTTTCGGATAAGAAAATGAAGAAGAACACGAATGCAACCATTGTAAGAGCTGCGCAAATGAAGAAAGCTGCTGAAATTTTTAAAAATATATTTTGTAAATTTTCACTTTTACAATATATTTAAAATAAATTAGAGAAAGTTAGCGATTAATTGTAATATTAAGTCAAATAGAACGAATCATATGCACTTGTTATTGTTAAATTTCTATCGTTTAACAAAAATTTTTCTTTTTTTTTTTCAAATACAATTTTAATTTTTCTGTTCAAAAATCTTACAATCTCTTCCAATATTTCTAATCAGTAAAGTGAAAGATGTTGAAGCAATAATATCAAATAACCAATTGCAAAATGCAGCAATGCTAACACAAATACTTCGTGCCCACATCGGATAAATTTCTGCATTAATAATCCATGAAGATGGTGCATAACCTTAAAATATTAGCATTAATTTAATTAATTAGCCATTACAGATTTTAAAAGCTTATGAAATTATAATTAATCTTTTACTCTTTTCAGATTTTTCATCATCTTTTATTTAGTTATCTTAAAATTTCATTTGTTTATAAAAACTTTTAGCATTTACTGAACAGTTGATACACATTGTGGCAGAAATTTATAAGTTATATATAAATATATGAATTATTTTTCGTTTGTTATTTAAAACAATAAACATATGGGAAAAAAAATGTGATGGAAAATTGTAATTAGTTTTACAACTTTTTAGATTAACTTCACTCTTCAATGCTATCAGTCTTAGTACTAATTCTTCGCTTTTTCTTCTTTTTTTTTTTTTTTTGTTAGAATTCTACAAAGTGAAATAAAATTGGTAGCAAATTGTTTATGCTATCGTATCAATTATTTTAGCTCTAGTATTCAATTTTTCCTTTTTTTTTTTTTTTAATTATAATTAAATTACAAAATGATATGATGAAAAAATATAATAAAATTTGCTTCTTCTTTTCTTCCATAAATTTTTTTTTTTAACTATTGAACTAAAATTTTTGGCTATTTCTATACTAATAAAAGTAAATAAACAAAATATAAAATACTAATCGTTTTTTTTTTTAAAAAAAAAAAAAGAAATGATAATTGATAATATTTATTAAATAAAGAAAAATGAATGAATGAAATGTTAGATATACCGCAAGCAAAGAATACGATGAACGTTACGAGTGGAACCAAAAGTAAAATGGCATAACCCGTGGCGCAATAGTCATCCATCCAGTCATACCTCATTGAATTATTGACAAAAGAGCACGGACCTATCAATGATTTTGATTCAATTACACTTGCCTTTTGATCAATTGGTAAACAATAGCTGAAATTTAAATTTTTTTTTTATTTTTTTGTGATGAAAATATTTTATGACTAATTGGCAATAAGAATGTTTTTATGAATTTATCTTCCTTTTTTGTTTTTTTTTTTTTTTTTTTTTTTATTGAATAATTAACTCAGTTTAAATAGAATTTTTTTTTTTTTTAAATGATTATTAGCATGTAAATTCTTTTTTAAATGACTTATGCAAAATTATTGCTATCATTATCACTATCACTATTGTTAGTATTACTTATTTCTTCATTTGTTTAATTAAATTAATAAATAAATTTGTTTATTTATTTATTCATTTATTTCATTTTATTTTATTCACTGATTTGTTTAAATAATTTATCCTATTTATTTATTTACTTAGCTTTTCTTTTATCTATTCATTTATTTCAACTAATTTATTTATTTATCCATTTAATCAACTTATTCACTTATTTATTTATTTAATCAATTTGCTAGCATTGTTTATTTATCCATTTGTTTAATTAAATTAATAAGTTTTACTTGTTTACTTATTTACTTATTTGTTTTGTTTAAATAATTTGTTTCATTTATTCATTTATTTTATTTAATTGATTGAATGATTTACTTATTTATCTGTTTAATTAATTCAATTACAAATTAATTAATTATTTTACCCATTTATTCAATTAATGAATTAATTCAACTCATTTATTTATCCATTCGTTTATTTATTTATTCACTTGCTTGTTTAATTAATTGATCATTCATTGTTATCATTATTATTATTGTCGTTATCATTATCAAATATAATTAAATATTATTTTTATATTATCTCTGTCATCATTGTTATTATTATTTATTATTATTATTATTATTATTATTATTATTATTATTATTATTTGGCACATATTTTGTAAAACGAAGTAAGTATTATTATGTGAATAAAATTATATTTTACAAAGCACTTGAATTATTGAATTATTTGTTTTATTTTAATTATTGAATTTTTTTTTTCGCACCACTTTCTATTTTTCAACTTTTGTAATAATATATTTGCGGCTTTCAAGATTTGCCAAAATTTCTTTTAACTTTAGCAAATTATTTTTGCCTCATCTATTTTTGCTACAAACAAGTTAGTCAATAATTAATAACAATAGTTATTAATTATTGAAAATTACTTACCCATAAGTTGGAAAATTTTTAGGCATACAAAAACCGCAGTGTTCGTCTTTTGTACATAAATTACAGTTTCTAAAATAATATAACATCAAAACTATTTCAGGAAATACTCCAACTATTATTAGAAATTAATTCATTTCATAAAATACTAAATAATTCAATCTAATGAGCTCTTCAATTCTATTTAAAATTTCATAAGTTTGTCCAATTAAAAAGCAAAAGGATTAGAAATATGAAAGTAAAGGAAATACTAACTCAAACTGAGCACAATGCTTGAAATACGGAATAAAATCCGGAATGACATCTTCAAGAGTTGCATTCAGAGGTTGAGTAATTACGGAATCACGGCTAACATATCCAAATGAAAATCCCATGCAAATAAGCGCAAAAATTACACCTGCCACTGAAGTAAGTAATACTTTCCGCCTTCCGAAACGTTCGATGATTAGCATTGGAATAATAGTACTTAAGAAATTTATTACTGAAATAAAATGATAAAATTCAGATATGCAATTTCAAATATTAATTATAAATTAAAACTTTGTTCCTAGTTTACTTAATCGGTTCATTTAATTTATTTTTAAAAAAAAAAAAATTGTTGTATATATGATTTTCATTCCTAACATCCAACTATGTTGCAGTAGAATTAACAAAAAAATTTTTTTTAACAGAATTTTAAGAATATCCCAAATATTTATCCTTTATTTTTGACTGTCATCATGATAAACAATATGATAAGTAGTTTGAATTAAATTTTAAAACATCCTATTAGCATCAAATTTAGAATTAAATCTGCAAAGGTGAAAATTTTTGGAAATGATTTAAAATTCACACTTTTTTTCATAATTTTTATATTTAATTAATTTTTATTTAAAAATCAATTACCTAATATAACACATGAAAGCCATATAATTGATTTTACTTCTTTCACTCTAGCTGATCTGATGATTGCTGACGAATGATGACTGATATAAAAGTTAGAAAATTAATTCAAATTATAACTTTTTGCTTTCATTTTTCTTTTGAAGAATTATTACTAGAAAGGGTAAAGAAAAAGCAAAAAAAAAAAATTCTAATTTTTTAATAATTTATTAAAAATTCAGAGGTAGATTAAATAAAATAATAGAAAATTTAATAAGTATAAATTACAGTAAATTAGACTACCTACTTTTAATTAAGTTATTATTTAGAAACGAAATACTGAAATTAATTTAATTAAATAAGTAATTACATGATAGCATTTATAGCTGATAATTGTTGAAATATTTGCAACATGCAACCAAGTAATATTTGCTGCAATGCATGCATGTCACGCGTGAGATGCATTACACGCCATCCACCTATAAATTTCAAATCATTCAAAAGTATATGCTTCATTTCATTTTGTTAGCGCAAATTGTCTAATGTAGCAAACATTGCAATTCTTTTCTTTTCTTTCATCGTTATTTTCTTTTAGAAGCAAATGATAAAAGAAAAAAAAAAAAGAAAGGATTTCAATATTTGCAGAATATTTTTTTGTATGAAAATTAGAAAAAAAAAAACTGTTAAAATATTAAGTTCTAACTTATATTCATTCTTTGCAAATTATTTCGCTTTTGTTACAAGAATCAATTCAAATTAGTTAAATTATAAAATTACAAGATTCAATTCAAATTAGTTAAATTATAAAATTACAAGATTCAATTCAAATTAGTTAAATTATAAAATTACAAGAATCAATTCAAATTAGTTAAATTATAAAATTACAAGACTCAATTCAAATTAGTTAAATTATTTTTTTTTCGAATTCAATTATTAATTGAGTATACAAATGATAAAGTATGATTATAATAATTGGATTTAATATGAATACTTTAACTTGAATTAAATTGAAAACTTTCATATATACCTCCTAACATTTCTTTAAGCCTTTCTTTATAACCAATATAAATATTTAAACGATCAATTTCTTCCTGTTGAAGTTTTTCATCATTTCGATGAAGCCATTGTGTTACCTATAAAATAATCAATAAGTGATTAATTCAAAAAGGAAAGAAAAATAAAAAATTATATTCTAAAAATATGCATAAAATTTAATGAATATATTTTTATTTTATTGAGATTAACAGAGCTATCAAATATTATTGTTAATTAAATATTGGATTTTTGACGATATTATTGTTGTATTATTAAATTTTAAGAAAGGAAGTAATTATTATTATTTTAATTAAATCACTCGAATGCCTTCATCTTGTTGATCATTAGCACATAACCATCGTGGACTTTCGGGCATGAATAAGAAGACGAAAAATTGAATTAAAGTTGGAAGAGTTGTGAAACTAAGCATTAAACGCCATTTAGCATAAATGCATTCCACATGAGATGATATACCTGTAATAACAGAATTTTCTGGATAAAAAATAAACTTAAACAACAAATGATTTAGTTGGTTAATTTAACTATCCTTTTTTTTTTTAATTAGTTAGTTAATTATTTTTTTTTTTTTTTAAACAAATTTGTAAATAAAAATAAACATTTCTACTTTTTGCCTGACACTGAAGAATTGAAAAAAAGGAAAAAAATTTGCAGATAATTTTATAATTTACTGAATTTTGATCATTAATTAATTTTTTCTTACTTTTACAATATATCCTTTTAATCGAAACTTTTCAAATTCTTTTTTCCAAAAAAAAAATTTTCAAAATTAATTTTTCAAATTATCCACCGTTTGCTCTCAGATTTATTGCATATCAAAATTATGTAAATAGTTGCTTTCAAATTTTAACTTCTCGTAATGTTCTATGAATGAATGCCAGCTGATATAATGGAGGGGAAATTTTGATAGATTGTTATAAATTTGCATTTCAAATTAATTTTTATAAAATAAAATTTATTTTACTAGTGTATTTTTTTTTTTTTTTTGGATTTTACCTGCAACAATATTTGCTGATGCTAATCCAAATGTAATAAACATTTGAAATGATGTCAGAAGAAAACCACGACAATGAGGTGATGATATTTCACTGATATACACCGGTACAACACTTGATCCAAAACCTTTAAGTTTATTTTTAGCTTATCATTGATATCAATGTTATCAGTGAAGTAAAAAAAAAAAAGAAGAAATTTGTTAATATATGCTTTTTACTTACTTTTTTTTTCGTGGAATTATAAAAATAATTTATAACACAAAAAAATTTGTTCTTCTTTTTGTAAATAAATAATATTTTGAGAAAAGAGTAGCATAAATCATATTCTATTTTGTTTTTTAGAAGTAATAAATAAACAAAAGATTTAACTTTTGTCTTTTGTCTAACTAAAATATTAGGAAATCTTAAAATAAAATTAAAAATGATAACAAATAATTATTTTTTTATTCTCCAGAAAAAAAAAAAAAAGGTATGAAATGGATTAGATGTAAACATTTTGAAAGAAACATGAAGGAAAGAAATTTATTTTAATTTGTTGAAATAATTTAATAAATGAAGCTTTTGTTTATTCAATGAAATTCTTTTATTTCACGTAATTTTTAATCAAAAAACTACAAAAAATTTTTAGAACAAAAACTTGTACTTTTTTTTTTTTTTGAAAATCATGTGTATGTATTCAAATGATTCGAAATTAAAATGAAAAAATTTAAGATTCAGAGTAAAATATTTACCTAACGCAAAACCAATTATAATTCGCCCAACAATAAGCATTTGTTTATTTAGCGACAATGAACATAATAATGCGCCAATTGTATCACATACAATTGCGCTTATGATAGCCTTTTTGCGACCAAAATGATCGCTTATTGGTGCAGCTAATAAAGAAGCTATTGCTGCTGATCCTAAATTTTATTTCATAAATGCTTTAATATGGTTTAAAATAATAATAATAATAATAATAATAATAATAATAATAATAATAATAATAATAATAATAATAATAATAATAATAATAATAATAATAACAATAATAATAATAATAATAATAATAATAAGTAATAATAATAATAATAATAATAATAATAATAACAATAATAATAATAATAATAATAATAATAATAATAATAATAATAATAATAATAATAATAATAATAATAATAATAATAATAATAATAATAATAATAGTTAATGCTAAATAGTAATGATAATAAAAATTTTCAAACTTCGTCTTAATACTTCAACAATTCTGAAAGTTTTCGAAAAAGAAAAAAAAAAGAAAGATTTCTTCATTTATAATCATATTAAAATAAGATAAAAAGTTAATAATTTCTACTACCAAAACCATTCTTATTCCAAATTTCCCTTACACTTTTAAATTTATTTACATTTCAAGATTTTTAAATAATTGATTTCATGAAATAAATAATGTTATAATATTAATTAATTTATACTATTATCAAATTATTGACTACTAACATTTTTTTTTGATGATGAAAAATTGTGTTTATAATCAATATATAATATAATAATAAACTATATATAATAGAATAACAATTCAAAAGAAAAAAAAATTTATTTCTAATATTTGTAAAATTATTTTGATAGAGGTGTTTATTTCATTACCAGGTGCAATAATCATTAAAATATAAAGAAATGTTTGATTAATTGGTTGCATAGCTTCATCATGTTGCATGTAGAATGAAGCATTAGTTATAATTCCACTTTCAAAACCAAATATAAAACCAAAAAATGCAGCAGAACCAGCAGCTGCATAAAGATGATATAAACGAAATGAATGAATTGATGATATCGATGGAATATTCATATTAAAACATTCATGATAACTGCAAATGATTCCCATTAATTAATTAATTAATTAATTAAATAAAACAAATTTAATTTAATTCATAAGCGAAACAAGAAGAAAAAGAAGTGGAAGATAAAGAAATAATTATATCATATATGAAATGATAATATTTGAAATAAATCATATTGATATGGTTGATAATAATTAAAAAAGAAATGAAGAAAAGAAAAAAAATTTTTTTTTTGTTTTTGAAATTTTTAAAAACTAAATTATTTATTTGAAATGCAATTCTTTCTATCATAAGTGTTAATTGAATTGTGACAGTACTTAATTACTAATTCTAATTTTAGCATATATTTTTTTAATGAAGAAGAAAAAGAGGTGAATGTGAGCAAAACAAAACAAAAAAAAAGAAAAAAAAAAGAAGTAATAGTATCTAATTTAACATGGAAAAAATAGGAAAAAAAAAGTCATTTGAATTAAATCAATGAAAAAAAAAGCATAAGTTCATTTTACTTATTACAGAAAATATTTGATACTTTTTAACTTAATACTAACATTTAAACTCTTAGAGATGATAAATGAAACTAAAATTGACAGCTACAATCTTTTAAAGATATTTTAGCATTCTTAAAACTGGAAAGACTCTTTCTAAATTATCTTTTTTAGTTTTGAACAAGTTGAATTACTTTCTTTTTAAGACAATTCTTTTTTTTTTATTTTTCATTTTTTGAAAGCCAATTTCTTTAATAGATTTTAAAGAATTGACAGAAATGATGGATTAAATGCAAAAAAAAAAAAAGTGGCAAAAAATATAACTTACCATTACGAATATTTGACATAATTACAAGAAGCTTAATAACTTTGCAAATGTAATTAATATTATCTCTAACAATTTCAGATAAAAATAATGAATATTAATTTAATAAAGTGCAAAAAAAAAAAAGTAGATATAATGAAATTGAATATTTTAATGCGATTCCTATTCTGCTCTTTAGAAATTCCATTTTATAACAAACTTTGGAAGCTCAAATTACTAAATTTGAAAAATGAATGACTATTATCAAAATTGTCAAAACTTCCTCATTAAAATTAAAAATGTAAAACATAGAGATGTGATATTTTATTAAATTATTTTTCTTGTTTTTCTTTTTATGCAGCAAAAGTTTACATTATTAGACAAGAATTTTCCAAATAAATATGATCTTTATTGATCATTTTTTGAAGAGTTTTTTATTTTTATTTTTGCTTTTTTATTTTGTTGATCGTTTACTTATGTCTTTTATGATTTAATAGCTGAGATATGAAAGATTTTCGAAGTATGACATCCTTAGTGCCTTTTTTTAATGTATCGTTATTTTATTAATCAGGAATGCATAATAATTATCATTTCCACAGGAACACCAATTCAGGATAATATGACTGCTCTCGACGATGAGTGTAATTTGGGAAGAAAAATGGAAAGATCAATTTTTCAAACTATGACAAATATAGGCAAGGACACTGTGTATTAGTTGATGCGATATAAACATTTATAATAAAATTACAGTTTACATATATAAATTAAAGTTAGAAATACCTTTGAAATGTAAAAATCATAAAAGAAAGGGATATTATCACATTTTATATTACTAAACATTACAGTTAGAAGTAACTTTAAAATTACTTAGTAAATACTAAAAAAAAAATGAATTTATTCTTAATTCTTAAAATATGTCTTTTTTCTTCCTTCGATTATCCATTAATTCACTGAGTCGTTGCTGTCGATTCAACAGGTGTTGTATCTCGTCGCGACATTTTAACAAATTTTTCTTCAACCTGTCCGCTGTAGCAGCGTCACGTTGATTACGTGTAATACCTTCGCGTAGTTTGCGTTCCTTATCTTTTAGCTCTTTCAACTTTTTGTCCAAATCTAACGATTGAATGCCGAGACTTGTCGAGGAACAATTCTGAAAAATAGTTTTCCAGCTCTATGGATGCTAATACATTATTTGTTTTCATCACGATTAGTGTGTCTAAAAAGTTGAAGTAGAGAAAATGCAAACTTAGGAACACAACAACAAGTTCGGATTGGTAGCGTTAACAGAAAATATTTAATTTTTGAATCTAATCTGCTCACCCTTGAATCTGTAAGTTTTCTTACTAACTGATCCAGTCAGTAAGCAATAACAGCATCATATTTTTTAATATTAAAACAATTTTTCCCAAAAAAATGTCTTTCAAATAAAAACACACAAAAGTTTCAGCAAAAACTTGAAAAAATCAACCTGTAAACTCGTTTCTGATTATTTGATACACCAATTTGCTCACCTGCAACTTTTCCATCTCTTTCACTTCATCTCTTTGTTCTTCCATAGATGAAGTTTTATTTAATTTATCATTCAACAACTGGAAAACATCGACTGGTTGTTCAACAGCTTTCAGCTTTTTTGCGATTGTCTGTTTAATCTGTTGACGAGAATTCATTCCATCCACCACTCTTTTGTTCTTCTCTTCCATACATATATCCAATGATTTATCTTTAAAAAAAAAAAAAAACCTAAAGACCACAGAAAAAAATTTAGTCAAAGGAGAATTTCAAAAGAAATAAAAAATTTGAATAGCAGAATAGCGAAATAATTATCTGAAAATAAAATAAGTGAAATATCTGTTAGCTTATATTTTTACAATACTAATGTATAATATGAAATAGAGATTTTTCCTGAACGACCAAGCAACGGTACTAATTAACCCTTTTGATTCTCGTATAACACTAATTAAGCTTTCCCAAAAAAAAAAAAACGAGAAAAGTGAAATTTGACATACTTTTGGGGAAGATCACTGGTTGTATGGCATGTACGATACCATCAGATTTTCTGCCAAGTCCTTCGCCAGCCCGATAACCCATTTTCAGCAGTAGCTTCATCCCGATACCACGTGTATGCTTCTCCCAATCACCGATATCGCCGATAGTAACATTTCCACGTCTTTCCTGCTTATATTCTTTCCATGAAGTTGTTGCTAAATCATTCGTAGCAGCTTCATCTAAAGCAGTATGTAATTCCAGTTCAAATTTAGATCCCATCAAAGAAAGCTCATTGATTACAGAGAGTGATTTTGTCTGAAAACAATAATCAAATTGACTAAATGTTGAATTAACTAAAGAAACAATACAATATCATTCGAAATGATTACAAGACTAGCCTTTTAAGCCTACTTCACAAAATAATTGCTTAACTGGGTAGCTAAAGAAGACTCATCAAATTTCTGTTTCGTTCTAATATTTCATTTGAACACAAAGAAACTTCGATTGTTTTAGAATTTTAAAGAATATAATTTCAAGAAAAAAAAAAGACTTGAGCTTAACAAAACCTTCGTCGTCATTAGCTAGTTGTGGGATTGGATAAATCTTATTCTGATCCACAGCAATTTCTTTCCCAGTAAGCAATAACCGAACTGCCAATTTCTCACCATCCATTGCAGTAACTCGAGCACTGCTCCATAATTTATTTTCACCCAATACAAGTACAAGTGAGTTTTCTCTTACCATTCTAAATAAAAAAGTACCTTTTTTTTTTGATCGGAAGAGGTGCTAATTAAATCTTCATTTAAGAGGTAATAATTAAATCTTTATTTATAAAGAAATTCATCAACGCTAATAATGACACGGCACGGTGCAGTTTATAAACATACGAAATATCCGGTTGCTGATACTCTCGAAGGGCTGAAAACGAAACTTCTTCACCATGCGAAAAGCGACATTCATTTCCATAATTACAACGATCATTAAGAAAATATTCGCAAGGTCTCATTGCTCCTTCCACAGGATGACCATATAATACTTTGACCTATAATCATCTAAAATACTGTCTAAAAATTTTGAAGTTTCACTTTATCAATAAAAAAATTTATTCATGTAATCAATTTTCAACGTTCTACATCAGGTTTCATTGTAAAAAAAAGTTACAAAAATTAGTTAGCCTAACATACCTTGAGGTCATCTTCTTCACTTGAATCTTCAACAAAATCTAAAATGACAGCGTCGTGGAAATGCACAGCACGATCAACAGTTCGATTGTACGGTGCAAGACAGTGCATTCCAATTAATTGACTAGAATCTTGCACATCACTGCTCGTATGAGTTTCATTGAAATCCTGTTCGGTTACCGAGGTTGTTTCATTTTCTGCAATAAGATCAACAATGCTTGCAAGACGATATAGAATAAATTTTCTAAAATCTTAAAGAATTACATAATGTAATAAAAATCTGGTTATACTGGTTATAAAATCACTCTTGGTTTCGAAAACAGCATATAATATTAAATAATTCAAACTTCAGTCAACGCTTCTTTATTCAATAAAATCATTACTACTTAACTATTTAGATAATGGAATAAACAGTACAATTTCTTCATTAATATCCAAAATTTTCGCAAGATTTATGCATGCATTAAGTGCTAAAAACTTATTGCACTGATTAATGGTTAGTCTTTATATATATAAGAAAAAAAATGTGAAATTCATTATATATCAAAGCTGAAATCTTATTACCGGTCAAAAGTGCAATAAGTTCTACCAAGTCAGAATGTGAATCCATCAGAGTATTTCTTCTCTGAAGATCTGTACATGTTTCAAGCTCTGCATCAATTTCTTTAAGCTGAAAAAGTAAGAATTTTATAGTGAAATTGCTTTTCAGGATTTTAAGTAATATTAATCTAGTAACATTTGGTCCAGTGCAATTAATCTTTTGAATCATTCCATACACAAATGTTCACTCAAAGAATGTTAACTGTATGTAAATGCATGAAACAAATTCATTTATAATCCATCTGAATGAACATTCTACTCATTATTTTTACCTTAGTGCTAAGATAATAAACTTAAGGATCACAATCGATCGACACTTGAGCTTTAGCAAAAAAAAAATTAATTGAAAAGAAATTGTACACAAACCTGCGACCGATAATTTTCTAATTCGTTTTGCTCCACCATAATTTAATTCTGACAATCCCAACTTTAAATGCAAAACATAATTATGT